TGATTGAGCGAAAACATAACATTCACGCATAATATACTCCAGATTTTGTACAATTTCAAAATCAAGATTTAAATTATCGTTAAGACGATAATCTATAGCTTCATTTGAATCTATAATAAAAAGCTGGCCATAAGTAGGATTTTCATTTTGCGCAGGACATATTGCCGTATTAATTTGATAATATATTTGTTCCTGTATTTTAAAGCAATATGGACCAGGTTGTCTATTTTGAAAATTAACCAAATTAGCATTAAATGATGCAACTGAAAATGAGCTGTTATAATTACGAATATATTGAAAAAAATGATTATATTTTACATGACTGCCATCAAATAAAGTAAGTAAAAAATAAGAAGATTTAGGTAACGATTCAAGATGTACTTCTTCATGATTACAACAATCATGAAATGAGTTTCCTCTATTGCTAATTTTTTCAGCAGCGAAATGTTTAGCATTACAATGCACACATAATACATCCATAGGACCAATATAATATTCAACTAAATTATCAGTTAACATTATATTATTAACATCTAAATAAGTTTGTCCTTTTTTACGTAATCGATAACGAAATTGAATTTCTGCATTTGTAGTCTGTTGTATTACGTAATTAGTAGTGATGAACTGACAATAGAATTAATATTGAATAGAATTAGATATTGAATTAACTGCATTTGTAACATGTTGTACTGTTGGATTAGTAGATGAAGTACTGGTAATACAAATAGTTTCAGATATTGTATTAACTTCACTTGTAGCATATTGGTTTACATGATTGGTGATAGTGTAGATAATGTACTGGCAATACAATTAATATCAGATATTGGACAAATTACACTTGCAATGCATTGTGTTTCATGATTAGGAAATGATGTACCAGCAATACAATTATCAGATATTGAACTAATTACTATATTACTTTTATTAATTTTTTTTGCATTCTGTCGACGATTATATTAATTTTGAGCTTTTCTTTCACGACATTATTTTTGAAAGATCTCTTCTTCAGAAGAAGAACAATATATTTTACGTCGAGATATTTTATTAAAATACAAAAATACGTATAGTCTTTAATATAAATATTATTTTACAAAATTAATTAACAAGATTTATTAAAAATTCAATACATAAAATCAATCTGTATTTATTATTGAAATTTTTAATATAAATATGTATATACAAGAATACTAATAATTTTTTACAACCAAATATACATATAAGTACAACGAACAATTATTATAATTAAAGAACTATATTAAAAAATATTACTTTTAATCTTTTAAATCATTTATAATCAACTAATTTTATACTTTTACCTTAATAAAACTACGATACTTGGACATCTATTAGTCTAAACAAAGTTTGCAAAAGTTAGTTATTTTTTAGGAAATGTAGGATGAATGGACATACAAATGTATAGATAAATCAACACTAAAATTATAAAAGTTTGCTATGTTGTATTAATTAATTAATCATCATTATCATCATTATCATCATTGTCAATAAGCTGCGTGAAATTGGCACCCCTAAGGGCCCTAAGTGCGACTTTTGACAAAATCTATATGGCATTAGATTGTCCATTATTTGTCCATATTTGTCCAATAATAATAATTTTTTGTCCACCTTTGGAAAAAAATTAAAAAAAAAATTTTTTTTAACGTTAGCACCCCTAAGTGCGACTTTTGACAAAATCTATACGGCATTCGATTGTCCATTATTTGTTTATATTTGTCCAATAATAATAATTTTTTGTCCACCTTTGGAAAAAATTAAAAAAAAAAAAATTTTTTTTTTACGTTAGCACCTCTAAGTGCGACTTTTGACAAAATCTATACGGCATTCGATTGTCCATTATTTGTTTATATTTGTCCAATAATAATAATTTTTTGTCCACTTTTGGAAATAAATGAAAAAAAAATTTTTTTTAACGTTAGCACCCCTAAGTGCGTTTAAAAAAAAATTACATACGGGATTCGATTGTCCACAATTTGTCCGCATTTGTCCAACAATAATCGTTTTTTGTCCACCTTGTTACAAAAAATTATAAACAAAAAAAAATTAGAGCAAATTTTGTCAAAAACACTCATAAGTGTATTTATCTTCAAATTACATACGGGATTCGATTGTCCACAATTTAATCGCATATGTTCACAAATAATTATTTTTTATTTACTTTGTTAAACGGAATTATAAATAAATGAAAAGTAAGATCAAACATTGTAACTCATGAGCACTCATAAGTGCGTTTATCTTTAATTTGCATACGGAAATCGATTGTCCACAATTTATCCACATTTGTTTATAAACACTTGTTTATTACTATATAAATAGTACATAAATGGTACACAAAAAATTATTGCAAGTATTGTCGCACTACAGTGTTCATTGCACGCACGCGCGCACATACATACACACACACACACACACACACACACATATGCACGCACGCACTCTTTTATACTACTTACACGTACATCAACTATACTCTTATATCAATATTAAGATGTCAAAGTTAAAAATAAAGTAGAATTATAGTATCTACATGCTTTTTTAACATGTAAACCAATATTTTAAAATAAATTCATAGTGTTAAATTTATTTAAACGGAGTAAGAAAAACTATTTAAAATTAAATTTAAAATTAAAAATAAATGTTATGTAATATTTTATTTACTTAAAGAATACAGACAATGTCGATAATGCATAACTGGAAAATTTTTCACATACAATTTTAAAATAATAAGAATGTTATTTTATAAAAATTTGCTTATTGTTCTCCAACATTATTTTAATATTGCGCGACATAAAATATCGTATAAATAATAGTACTTAAATAGTACATAAAAATTAAACCGAAAATCATATATGTGGGAAGAAGCATGACAACTTTATATTATAGTAACACAAAACTAAAATAATTTGAAAAGTAAAATTAAAACCAACACAATTTAATAAATAAAAATTATATCAAATACTTGTTAATATATTAATTAAAATATAATGTTTTATATATATTATACTCTTATAAAAATAATAGTACATGGACGTATTTGTATTTTACATGGATTTGTAACAAAATGAAATTTATTGCACATGTCATCATGTTCTCTCCATGTACCGGTTATGCTACGAGAAAATGATGTAAAATGTCCAGAAAGATAACGTACAATACCAGCTAAAATGTATGTTTTGTTTTGTACATTAATTTTTTCAGGAATATCACTGAAATTTATTCCACGTGGATATTTAATTTTATTCATCTGGAAGAAGATTTCGGGATCAAAAAACAAATATAATTGCGTTATTTTGCTAATTTGCACTTGTGATTGACAAGATTTACATGTGGCTGTATCTATGCTAAAAAAATGTGAAATAAAATTAAGAAACATTTGTTTGAAATCTTCATTTACCAATTGTATTTCATTTACGTCTATAACAAATAATTTCTTAAATTTAATTTCATAGTTTATACACTTTCTTACTTCTTCAAAAATTGGTAAATCTGCCATTAATTTATTTAGCAAAAAATTAGGATTAGTTGTACAATCAACAATGTTATTATGCATTTCAAAAATGGTGCATAAAATCGCAGCTCGTTCTTGATAAAGCAAGTTATTAATTCCTTCGTTAGCATATTTTTTTTATAAAAGTTAAAAATAAATTTTCCGAATTTTCGTCTAAACAATTTTTAAATGTCGAATAATTACAATACGCAAATGTTAATATTTTAGCTAACGAATCGAAAGCACATGTGTTTTTAATATATATTTTTTGTCTATTAATAATGACTACGTTGCAGCTGCTTCCATTTCTCAATATTTCGTCCTTTCGTTTTCTCAACGGTCTGTCACATATAAGTTGTATATCCGGACATTGCTTCAAATATTTACCCCTTTGGCGATTAACTTTGTTTTCAGTTAGTGGCTTTTGTTTAGGTTTAGTTTTATTTTTTTTGCTTACTAATTTATTTTCCTTATTTTCGTTATTAATATTTTTATCTAAGTCTATTTCTGAAATTGTAATTGAACTCTTCGTAAAATCATTCATTACTTGTTTGTCAGCTTGAATTTGTCCTTCCGATTTCTTTGATTTTCTTGCTTCAATATTTAAACCTTTCCAGTTTTCTTGTTCTGTTAAATAATTATAGTTATTAACAATACTTTCTGTTTCTTCATCTGACATATTAAACTCAACTTTGCTTTTTTTCGCTGTTTTATTATTGTCTTCTGCCAATGCAATTTTTTCATTTACACGTTTAATTGCAGCATGTTCTAATTTCGATATACTTTCGATTGATTCGATATGACGAACAACAAACTTATCAGGGCGCATTGGTTTGTAATCTATTCCCAAATCTGAATGTTTTAAATCTTTAAAATAGGCTTCGCGTCTAGAAGATGTTGCTACACTGGATGATGAAGGAAAATATCCTGTCATTATATCTGTCTAAATAGGAAAATGTTTTGCTAATTTGACTAAATAGTTTACAAGTTCAGGACAATAAAAAGCGTTGTACCTATCAGTTTCTACACTTTCATTTACTTTACATTCAGCCTGTTCTCTAATGTTATCTACAAAATTAACCAAATCATTGTTTACGTCCAAATCGTCCGGATAATTATACTCTTTATCATTATCGCTATCGTCTGTAAAAGTAAAAGTTTTAATCTTTTCGAATAAATAGGATTGTTTTGTGGCACAAATGACGTCATTACCAGCAGCATCTTTGCCATC